GCGCCCAACAAGCTGCTGGCCAAGATCGCCAGCGACCTGGACAAGCCGCGCGGCTTCGCGGTGCTCGGCCAGGCGGAGGCTCAGGACTTCCTGGCAGACAAGCCGGTCGGGCTGCTCTGGGGCGTCGGCCCCAGCCTGCAGCGGGGCCTGGCGCGCCAGGGGATCACCCGCATCGGCGACCTGCTGAGCTACGAGGAGGCGGAGCTGGTCGCCCTGTTCGGCGCCATGGGCCGGCGCCTCTACCGCTTCGCGCGGGCCCGCGACGACCGCGCCGTCGAGCCCGACTCGCCGGCCAAGTCGATCTCCGCCGAGACCACCTTCGATACCGACCTGGACCGCCTGGAGGAGCTGGCGGCGCGGCTCTGGCCGCTGTGCGAGAAGGTCGCCGCCCGCCTGAAGGCGGCCGGCGTCGCCGGCCAGGGGGTGACCCTCAAGCTGAAGACCCACGACTTCAAGACGCTGACGCGCAGCCGCCGCCTGTCCGACCCGACGCAACTGGCCGACCGCCTCTACCGCGAGGCCCACGGCCTGCTCGCCGCCGAGGCCGACGGCCGCCGCTTTCGCCTGATCGGCGTCGGTGCCGAGTCGCTGGTCGAGGGGCGCCTGGCCGACCCGCCGAGCCTGCTCGAGCCCGACCGCCTGCGCCGCGCCAGGGTCGAGCAGGCGATCGACAGCGTGCGCGCCAAGCTGGGCGACACGGCGATCCGCAAGGGTCGCGGCTGGCCCGGGGAACGCTGAGGCGCGGCCGTGCGGCCGCATCAGCATTCCGGCGGCGGCAGGGCCTCCAGCTCGATCAGGCGCGCGCGCAGGGCGAAATCCCCGTAGTCGAACAGGAAATCGTCGGCGATGCCGTTGGGAAAGACCCGCAGGCTGACCTCGGTTTCCGGCAGCTCGGCGTCGCCGAACGGCGCGAAGTAGGCCATCAGCAGGCGCCAGGAGGGCAGCTCGGCGGTCAGCGCCGAGTCCAGGGCGCTCGGCCGCTGCGGCGGGATGCGCCCGGCCAACGCGGCCGAGATCTCCGCCAGCCCGTCGGCCTCAGAGGAGGCGTCGAACACCGTGCGGTAGAGCGGCAGCCGGCCGTCCATCGCCCGCTCCAGCATCTCGAAGGTGTGGTCGGTGGGAAACAGCGTGCCCTCGGGCAGCGCCACCTCGCGGGCGATCGGCTCCTCGAAACGCGCCACGCCGGCGCCGCCCGCGCCATCGAGTTCGGCATCGCCGCGCAGGGTCTCGTAGACCTCGCCGCTCTGGTAGCGCTGAATGACGAAGCGGAAGGCCAGGCCGTCCTTCGCCTCCCAGGTGCTCAAGGTCCAGCCGAAGTCCAGCTCGCCGCCCTCGGCCTCGCCCAGGACGACGCGGGTGCGCTGATTGACCGCCCAGCCGTCGCAGACGTCCGACCACTCGAAGTCCAGCCGCCCGCCCGCCGAGGCGACGCTGCCGTCGCCGCGGCCGGGGACCAGCAGCAGCTCGTAGCTCGCGCGGTGGGGCTGAAAGCGCTCGACCGCGGCCCGCGCCTCGCCGGGGGGCGCGGCCACCGCTGCGGCCGGGGTCGCCAACGACGCCGCGGCGGCGGCGAGAAGACTTGCCAGAAAGGTGGCCCGATTGCGCCTCATGTGCGACAGATTAGACTGTCGCAACGGCGTCGCAACAGCGCCGGTAACAGCTTTTTTCGCCTGTCCTTTCGGGGGGTGCACTGTCCATGGTCGAGATGCTCCGCGCGTGCGCCACGCGCGCCCTTCCGCCTGCCGTGACCGAACGACTCCGGCGCGACTACGACGTGCGCCTCAACGCGGCGGACCGGGTGCTCGGCCCCGACGAGATCGTGGCCGCGGCCGAGGGCTGCTTCGCGCTGATCTGCATCGCCACCGACCGGCTCGACCGCGCCCTGATCGAGCGACTGCCGGACAGCGTCAAGCTGATCGCCACCTTCTCGGTCGGCTACGAGCATATCGACCTGGAGGCGGCCAAGGCGCGCGGCATCCAGGTCAGCAACACGCCCGACGTGCTGACCGAGGCGACGGCCGACATCGCCCTGCTCTGCCTGCTGGGCGCCGCCCGGCGCGCCTGGGAGGCCCAGACCCTGCTGCGCCAGGGCCGCTGGACCGGCTGGGCCACGACCCAGCTCTGCGGCACCCAGGTCAGCGGCAAGCGCCTCGGCATTCTCGGCATGGGCCGGATCGGCCAGGCCGTGGCCGCGCGGGCGCGCGGCTTCGGCCTGGAGATCCACTACAGCAACCGCAGCCGCCTGCCCGAATCGGAGGAGCGCGGCGCCCGCTACCACCCGGTCGCGGAGGAGATGCTGGCGCACTGCGACTTCCTCTCCCTCAACGCCCCCTCGACGCCGCAGACCCACCACTTCCTCGACGCCGCGCGGATCGCCCGCCTGCCCGACGGCGCCGTGGTGGTGAACACCGCGCGCGGCACGCTGGTCGACGACGAGGCGCTGATCGCCGCCCTCAAGTCGGGCAAGCTGGCCGCCGCCGGACTCGACGTCTTCGAGGGCGAGCCGAGGGTGGACCCGCGCTACTTCGACCTGCCCAACACCTTCCTGCTGCCGCACATCGGCAGCGCCACGGTGGAGACGCGCGACGCCATGGGCTTCATCTGCCTGGACAACCTGGACGCCGTCGCCGCCGGCCGGCCGGCGCCCAACGGCCTGCTCTGATCGGCCGCCGGCGAGGGCCCGCACAGCCGGCGCGCGAGCGCGTCAGCGCCCGGCCGTCCAGCGGTCGAGAAAGCCCTCCAGCCACCGGCCGAGCGGCGCGTGGTGGCGCGCCGCGCCGGCGATCTGCGCCTCGCGCGACTGCGCGCCCGGGCGGGCCAGCCCCTCCTCCGCCTCGTCCATCCAGCTCAGCATCATCTCGCGGGTGACCTCGGGGTGGAACTGCAGGCCGTAGACACGCCCGTCCAGCCGGAAGGCCTGGTTCTCGAACATTCGGCCGGTAGCCAGCAGCTCGGCCCCGGCCGGCAGCTCGAAGCCTTCGGAATGCCAGTGATAGACGTGCATCGGCTCGGGCAGGACCTCGCGCCCGCGCGGCGTCGGGGTCACCTCGGCATAGCCGATCTCGTGCAGCCCCTCGCGGTGGCGCTCGACCCGCGCGCCCTGGCTGCGCGCCAGCATCTGGGCGCCCAGGCAGATGCCCAGGTAGGGGCGCCCCGCCCCGACCCAGGCGTCGATCCAGCGCAGCTCCTGCGCCAGGTAGTCGACCTGCTCGGCCTCGCTGGCCATCTGCGGGCCGCCGTAGACGACGCAGAGCGCATGCCCCTCGTCCAGGTGCGGCAGGGGCTCGCCCCTGGCGACGAAGCGCTGGTCCAGGTCGTAGCCGCGGGCGGCCAGCGCCCGGGCGACGCGGTCGTCGCGCTCGTGCTGGGTGTGACGGATCAGCAAGGCGGTCGGCATCATACCCGGAAGATAGACCGGGCGGCCCGACGGCAAAACCCCGGGGCACCGCGCCAAGCGCGGCGCGGCCCCGGCCGGCCACGCTCAAGGCGAATTGACGTCGCCACGCCGACACGGGTTTGCCTTCGCCGAGAATTCGGAACAGGCTGTTCGCGTCCGCGTCCTCGATCGACTTGTGCATGTCCAACGACCCGAGTCCCGCCGAAAGGGCCGCCGCCCCGGCCAGGCCCCATCCCCTTGAGCCGAGCGCGGCCGACAGGCCGCAGCGCTTCGCCTTCCTGCTGGTCCCCAACTTCTCGATCCTGGCCTTCACCTCGGCCCTGGAGCCGCTGCGCGCGGCCAACCGCCTGACCGGCCGCCGGCTCTACCACTGGACGCTGCTGAGCGCGGACGGCGCGCCGGTGCACGCCTCCAGCAACGTCGGCATCATCGTCGACCAGCCGCTGAGCGACGCCCAGCGTTTCGACACGGTCATCGTCTGCGCCGGCCTCGGCGCCGAGGTCTATCGCGAGCCGCGACTCGAGGCCTGGCTGCGCCGCCTGGCCCGCCAGGGCTGCCGCATCGGGGCCGTGTCCACCGGCACCTACCTGCTCGCCCGCGCCGGGCTGCTGCAGGAGGTGCGCTGCACGCTGCATTGGGAGAGCCTGCCGGCCTTCGAGGAGGCCTTCCCCGAGCTGGAAGCGACGGCCGAGCTGTTCGAAATCGACGGCCCGCGCATGACCTGCTCGGGGGGCACCGCCTCGCTCGACATGATGCTCTCGGTGATCGGCCTGGACCACGGGCGCGAGCTCGCCACCAAGGTGGCCGAGCAGTTCATCCACGAGCGCATCCGCAGCCGCGAGGACAAGCAGCGCATGGCTCTGCGCGCGCGCCTGGCGGTCAGCCACCCCAAGCTGCTCGCCGTGGTCGCCATCATGGAGGAGCACATCGAGGACCCGCTGCCACGCTCCGACCTGGCGCGCATGGCGGGGCTGTCGACCCGCCAACTGGAACGGCTGTTTCGCCGCTATCTGGGCAAGACGCCGACGCGCCACTACCTGGAGCTGCGCATCGACCGGGCCCGCCTGCTGTTGACCCAGACCTCCATGTCCGTGCTGGAAGTGGCCACGGCCTGCGGCTTCGTCTCGGCCTCCCACTTCTCCAAGTGCTATCGCGAATTCTTCGACCGCAGCCCGCGCGAAGAACGGGCGGCGGCCGCGGCGGTGGCCGGGCACTCCGCCTGACCGCGCCGCCCGCACGCCCCAGGCGACCTTCCGGCGGCCGCGAACGCGGCCCGCTGCCTCCCCTCCGCCGCGGCGAGCCGCCGGGCCGGGCCACCAGCGCACCCTGAGCGGTGATCCACGCCCACCATTAGAGCGTATGCTTACCAATGGGGACTCGGATAGGCTCATCTCGGGCCATGGCGAGTTGCGAAGGTTCATGACTGGACGAACGATCAGGAAGCTCTAATTTTCGGAGAGACGACGCAGACAAGCGCTGGAGCATGGAAGCTCTTCACATTTTTATTCTTGAATATGAAGGGCCGCGACTTGGCGTCAGCGTCGGCTGCAAGCGTCGCAGGAAAGGCTCAGGGCAATGACAGCGACAGCCGCACAGAACGAGATCCATGAAATGGGCACCGGGGCCATGAATCTTGACGAACAGGTGGCGCATCTCCTGCGCCGGGCGCATCAACGCGCCTCCTCCCTGTTCTTGAGCATCCTCGGCGAACACCAACTCACGCCCACGCAGTTCTTCGCGATGGCGCGCCTGCACGAACGGGGCCAGCTTTCGCAGAACCGGCTGGGACGGCTGGCGGCGATGGACCCGGCGACGATTCAGGGCGTGATCCGCCGCCTGGAGGAACGCGGCTTCATCCAACGCACCCCGGACGTCAACGACCGGCGCCGCATGGTGCTGACGCTGACCTCCGACGGCCGCTCGCTGGTGAGCCGGCTGCTCGACCATGCCGACGGCGTCAGCGAAGCGATCCTCGAGCCCCTTGACGCCAAGTAGCGCGTGCTCTTCATCACTCTGCTCAAGCGGCTGACCTGAGGCCACGCGGCGATCGGCGAGGCGCTTGGTCGCGAAAACGCGACTGGCGGTCGTGCCCGGCACAGAGCGCCGGCCCCGCCCGGCCGCAGGCTGTCTCGTAAGCCGCCGCGGCCGGGCGCCGTCGCGAGAGCGGAGAACGCGCATGTTTCAAGCCGTCGAGACCCCGCCGGCCGGGACCTCCGAGCCCCTTTCCGGTCAGAGCCTGCCGGCGGCCGTGTCCGCGCTGCTGGCCGACTTCACCATCGAGACCACGCCGGGGGCGGCGGCCAAGATCGCGGATTACCGCGAGCACCTGCGCCCCGGCGCCACGGTGGCCGTCACCTTCCTGCCGGGCAGCGATTTCGAGGACACGATCGCCACCGCCGCGCGCCTGCGCCGCGAGGGCTTCGAGCCGGCGCCGCACCTCGCCGCGCGCTCGATCCCCGGCGCCTGGGAGCTGGACGACTGGCTGGCGCGGCTGGCCGGCGAGGCCGGGGCGAGCCACGCGGTGGTCTTGGCCGGCGCCGTGGCGCGGCCGCTCGGCCCCTTCGCCTCCTCGATGGACCTGCTGGAAACCGGGCTGCTCGACCGCCACGGCTTCACCCGCATCTCGGTCGCCGGCCATCCCGAGGGCAACCCCGACATTCCCGACGAGATGGTGGCGCAGGCGCTGGCCTGGAAGAACGACTTCGCCCGCCGCTCCGACGCGCACTTCGAGGTGGTGACCCAGTTCGTCTTCGACGCGCAGCCGATCATCGCCTGGGACCAGGCGATCCGCGCCGCCGGCAACCGCCTGCCGGTGCGCGTCGGCCTGCCCGGCCTGGCCACGCTCAAGACGCTGATCGGCCATGCGCGCGCCTGCGGCATCGGCCCCTCGATGCAATACCTGCTCAAGCAGGCCCGCAACGTCACTCGGCTGATGAGCGTCAGCGCGCCGGACAAGCTGGTCACCGACCTCGCCCGCTACCGATTGAGCGCGCCGGAGAGCTGCATCCAGGGCGTCCACCTCTATCCGCTCGGCGGCCTGCGCCGCTCGGCCGCCTGGAGCTACGCGGTGGCCGACGGCGCCTTTACCCTGGACGCGCAGCAAAGCGGCTTCACCGTCGACCGCCCCATCGCCTAGAGTGACGGGCGGCCGAGGCGGCTCGCTTCGCCGGGTCCGCCGGCCGCGTCAAACGCGCGCCATTTCGGACTGCTGGAGCCGGCGCGGTCGATCCGACGCACGAGGGGGGCGAGATGGACGAGGTGAGCTTCACCCGCATGGAGGACGGCACCGCCGCGGACTACGCGCTGGTCGCGCGCGAGGAGGAACGCCTCAAGCAGGCGAACTTCGCCGACAGCGTGCTGGGGCTGCTGAAGGCCATGCGAGGCCCGAAGCTGGGCTACAAGATCGACCGCTACCAGCATTCCCTGCAGAGCGCGACCCGGGCCGAACGCGACGGCGCCGGGGAGGAGCTGGTGGTCGCCGCCCTGCTGCACGACATCGGCGACACCGTGGCGCCGGACAACCACGCCGAGTTCGCCGCGACGCTGCTGAAGCCCTACGTGACCCACGAAACCTGGTGGATCGTGCAGCACCACGCGATCTTCCAGGGCTACTACTTCTGGCACCACCTCGGCGCCGACCGCAACGCGCGCGAGGCCTATCGCGGCCATCCCCACTTCGCGGCCTGCGCCGACTTCTGCGCGCGCTGGGACCAGACCGCCTTCGATCCCGACTACGACACCGCACCGCTGGCGCACTTCGAGCCGCTGGTCCGCCGCGTGCTGGCGCGCGAGCCCTGGGCGCTGTGGAAAGAAACCGCCCCGGCGGCGTGAGCCAACGGGAGAACGACCCTCGCCGACTCCTCAACCGCCCGTGCGCGGCGCCTGCCTGTGCGGCGCCGTCCGCTAACGGGTGAGCGGCGGGCTGCAGCCGCCGATCGCCTGCCACTGCCGGGAATGCCGCAAGAGCACCGGTCACTTTCTGGCCTTCACCGCCGCCTGGCTCGACCAGATCACGGTCGAGGGCGCGGAGTCGCTGGGCTGGTACCACTCCAGCGACCACAGCCGGCGCGGCTTCTGCCGGAGCTGCGGCACGCCCCTGTTCTTCTATACCAAAGGTGCGGACCGCATCTCGATCACCCTCGGCAGCCTCGACCAGGCCCCGGAGCTCGGCCCGATGGCGGCGCACCTCTTCGTCTCGGAAAAGCCCGCCTACTACACGCTCGACGACGGCGCGCCGCAGTACGAGCGTGGCGGCGACCAGGTGCCGATGCCGCCACGGGAGTACCCCCGGGCCGGCGCGTTGATACGGCGGCGGGTCACCGCAGCGCCGCTTCGTAGACCTCCAGGGTGCGCGCGACCATGGTCTCCAGCGCGAAGGCCTCGCGGAAGCGGGCGCGGGCGTTGGCGCCCAGGTCGCGCAGGCGCTCCGGCTCCGCCAGCAGGCGGCGCAGACCGTCGGCGAGCTGCGCCGTGTCGTCCGGCGGGATCAGGGCGCCGAGCGGCCGCTCGCCGAACAGCTCGCGCACGCCGCCGACGTCGCTGGCCAGGATCGGGCGGCCACGCCGCATCGCTTCGATCAGGCTGACCGGCAGCCCCTCCCAGTGCGAGGCCAGGACCACCAGGCTGGCGCGGGCGATGCAGGCCTCGACGTCGCTGCGATAGCCGTGGAAGGTCACCCGCTCGCCGAGATCCAGGCGCCGGGCGAGGCCGCGCAGCTCCGTCTCCAGGGGCCCGTCGCCGACCAGGTCCAGGTGCCAGGGAAGATCGACCAGCCGGCTCAGGGCCCGCAGCAACCCGGCATGGTCCTTCTGCTCGGCCAGGCGCGCCACCATCAGCAGCCGCGGCGCCTCGCCGCCCCGCGGCCAGGGCGCCGGCGGGCCGTCGGCCAAGCCGTTGTGGATCGTGACCAGCGGCGCACGCGCGGCGATGCCGCAGCGTTCGGCCAGCTCCGCGTCGGCCCGGCTGACCGTGATGATCGCCGCGCTGACCCGGGCCATCCGCCGCTCGACCAGACGGTAGACGCGGCGGCGCAGCGGCGGGACGCCTTCGGCGAAGGCCCAGCCGTGGGCGGTGAAGACGGCCGGAATGCCGGCCAGCCGCGCGGCCAGCCGGCCCACCACGCCGGCCTTCGAGGAGTGGCAGGCGACCAGGTCGGGCGCTTCGGCCCGCAGCACGCGGGCCAGGCGGCGCACGGCGCCCAGATCGTGCAGCGGCGCGATCTCCCGGCGCAGCCCCGGCAGGGACACCAGGCGCACCCCGCTGCCCGCCAGGCGCTCGGCGAAGCTGGCGATGTCCGAGCCGCCGAGGAAGACGGTGACGCGGTGGCCCCGCGCGACCAGGGCCTCGCTCAGGGCGATCACGTGGGTTTGCGCGCCGCCGATCACGTCACCGCGCGTGAGGACCATGGCAATGTGGCGCGCGGGCGTCGACATCTTCGGAAACAGCCACTCCCGGGGTGCTGGCGGTCGAAGGCAAAGGCGGCCGGACACACGCCGGCAGGGCCCCGCCTGCTTACCCCGGATGGCGCCGTCACGGAAGCGCCAAGCGCAGCCTCAGGGGGCGGCCGGGCAGTGGCGGCTCACCGCCCCTTGGCGGCGAAACGCCGGACCGTCTCGACCAGTTGGCCCAGCCCGGAGGGCTGGTGCAGGCCGACGGCGGCGTCTGCGCCCAGGCGGGTGGCCCAGCCCAGATACAACGGCTGATGGCGCGAATAGGCGATCAGCGGCACGGCCGGGCTGCTCCGCCGGATCTCGCGGATCACCTCGAAGCCGTCGGGCGGCGGCATGATGATGTCGACCACGAAGAGGTCCACCAGCTCTTGCGGCAAGGGGCTTACGCCCCCGCCCGCGGCCTCGTGCTCGACGATGCGGATGTTCTCCTTGCGCAGCGCCTCACGCACCAGGTGACGGACGACGGGATCGTCGTCGATCAATACGGCCGTTGCTGCCATGCGCCCCACTCCCCCGAGCCGCCGGCGGTCGCCCGCCGGTCTCCCTTTGAAATGGGGCAGTCGGCGGCCCGTGCAACAGCCGGCCGCACGGGCCGCCCGCCCGCGGCCGCAGCGTCGCTGTCGCGGCGCGGCGGGCGCGGAGGCG